CCTCCGGCTGAAGATCCACCGGCAGAGCAACCGCCTGCGGATGAACCCCCAGCCGAGGATCCCGCACCCGAACCTGCAGCTGAACCAGCGACTGAACCCGAACCTGCAGTGGATCCCGAACCTGCAGTGGATCCCGAACCTGAGCCTGCACCTGAGGCTCCACCCGAGCCACCTGCTGAGCCCGAACCTGAAGGTGACTCCGATGCGGTTCATAATTTGATAGATATTTATGCTGAGCGTGACTTTCAAGCAGAACCAGAAGGTCAGCCAGAGGAGCAACCGGAATTGGTGCAACGATCAGCCGAGCCCGATCCAGAACCTGAACCCGAACCTGAAGCAGAACCTGAACAATCCCCTGAGCCAGCCGAACCCGAGCCAGAACCAGAGCCAGAGCCAGCGCCAGAGCCAGCGCCAGAGCCAGAGCCAGAACCAGAGCCAGAGCCAGAGCCAGAACCAGAGCCAGAGCCAGAGCCAGCGCCAGAGCCAGCGCCAGAGCTAGCGCCAGAACCGGAGCCTGAAGCTGAACCAGAGGAGCCTGCAGCTGAGCCCGAACCGTCTGCGCCCGAACCTGAAGCTCAGCCTGAAGCAGCCCCTGAGCCGACGCCGCAAGCTCCGTGAGCATAGTACATCAGATTCAACAGGACGTTGCTGACTCAAAGCAGGCCACCTCCTGCTTCGACAAAGTCTGCCAAGCCACGAAAGCGTGATGCGTGGCGTAGCAAACTGGCAGCCGGTGGGAACGGCAGACAGCGACTCTTGATGTTCACAGCGCCGAAGGAGACCAAGCCTCTTGTGGCGGCGCTTCAACAGGAGAAGGCGAAGGGTACGGACATCAAGCCATTGATCGATGGTATGCTGGCCACTATCGCATCCTAAGCTGGACAGTTTCCTAAGTCGCACCACCGCTCTTACCTGTCCCTAATGACCAAATCTTGCTTTGAAACCTATCAGTCATCTTTGCGCGTTCTTCGGAAGCCCTGAATACCATGTGATACATCATGTCAAGTCGCGTGCACTCAAGGTGTACACCCAACGAGCAACATTCGACGTCGTCTCTTAAGGGCCTTCCACGGCATCAACAATGAACAGAGACTTAGTTTCCGGTTGCGTAAAATAGTTCATTCCGTCGTTGCTATGCATGTGTACAGTGCTCGGGCTTTTCTTCCCGAGAAGCCTCATTCAGATTCGTAATATAGTCGACTCGTCAAACACCCCAGCTACAACTGCGATAACTCCTTCCTCTCGCCAATTGTGTTGAGGAAAGCAGTATGTACGTGCTCAGTCAAATCGCTGGCCTGCAGTGAACGACCCTTCTCCTTGTACGCGAGCCTCGAGCACTCCCTTGTGATAACACTACCACCGTACGCGGCCAGAGCCAAGGTCTCACTCCTACTGAGGCTGTTGTCATGGTCCCAGATCTTGTCATGGTACGCCTGGCGGTATGCCAGCAGGGTCGCCAAGCTACCTGTGAGGGTGTCACCCTGGCCGCCGGAGCGCTTCAAGCCGCCCTCGCCGTCGGAGACAAGTGTGTGTTCGCCGTTGGAAATGTAGTCCTTGGAGCCCTTCTGGATGATTGTGACGCCGCCGAAAGCCTTGGACAGCTTGGAGCAGAGCTCAGCTGGGTCGCCCTCGTCGACGTCGACGCCCTTGGCCTTCGCCAGACGCCCAAACTCGACCACGTTGGGTGTGAGAATGCATTCCTTGCAGCCTTCGACGAGCTCCGGGCGCGTCTGAGCAAGGAACAGACCGTCGGCGTCCAGCACGAATGGGATGTTCTGTTTCCTCGCCTCCTGGATCACCTTCGCACATGTGTCTTGCATCAGCTTGTCGCGGCCGAGGCCGGGGCCGATAACGATGACGTGGAGACGGGAAAGCATGGCGATGACTTCGGCGGAGACGCTGTCGGCGCTCTCGGACGGTGCGACGTTCTTCTCCTGGCGCATGATCGGGTGCACCATCAGGTTAGGAGAGTATGTCTTGATAACGGCAGCCGCGCCGGGCTCGCAGATGACGTGTGACTGAGAAGTGTGTTAGCTGGTTACTATGGTGGGAGGACTGGTAGAGGCGACATACCATATCGCAGCCAAGCTTCGCTGATGCCATGGCGGAAAAGTACGGTGCGCCTGTGTAGTCTTCGCTGCCACCAATGACACCGACACGACCGAGCTGGCCTGAACAATTGCATTAGCATCGCTCTTTAAGGCCGTTTGAGGGAAGATAGTAAGTACCCTTGTGAAAGCTCTCAAGCATGGGCGGGACCATGTTGTACACCTTCTTGAGCAGGTCCTTCCTTGCTACGGACGCCATTGTGAAAGTTGTGGAAGTAGTAGCAAATTCGAAAAAGTTGGGGTATCAATTGAACGGAGCTAGAATTCAGACTGAAGAGCTTTTGAGCTTGTGGTTGTGCGGACGGAGCATCGCTGCGACGCAGCGGTTTTGTTCGAAGACGGGTTGGAGGATGAGGTCACCATGATGATCCTAGCTGTGAGGTGGGCCGCATAACATGTCGGGCCGCGTAACGCCCGGCGGCGCGTAACGCCCCATCAACCCCTCAACGCTCAATTTAAAAATGAGGCTATTGAGCCACCAACAATAAATAATATCACGAGATTTTCTGGTGTATTACTAAAGTGATGCTTGTGATCAATTTGCGCTATCTATATTTCATCGGAAGTGTGACGCTGCGGCCGCGGCGGGTGGTGATAGGTGGGGGTGGTGAGGGAGCGTCGGGGGCGTCCACGCTCTCTGCACCACCCAAACCTTCAACCACGCGCTTTTTGACTGGTTTCTGAGTTGATCAAGCTTTTCTCTTGCCTGTTTGGGGCAATTGTAGAGCTTTTTGAGCGTTGCGATTGGCCTCCTGAGTCTCTTTTTTGCGTTGGCGTTCAGCTACTTCTTCGGCCTTCCTCTGCTTACGCTCTACCTTTGCCACACGCCGCGCCTCAAGCTTCTCCTGATGTATCTTCAATTTGTATGCCTTATTGGCATCGCGGAGCTGCTGATTCATCACTTTTTCTGCCTCCTTATCACGTTTTTGTTGCTCCTTGGCGGTGTGAAGGTCTCTTGCGTGGTCAAACTTCGATGGAGTGAAAATTTGACTCTCACCCTCGTCCTCTTGTGGCTTTTCAAGCTCCAGGATACGGTTAGGCTTATTACGCTTCTTTTTGGTAGTAAGAGCCTGCTTCAATCCTAGTAATTCGTCCTGCTGGAGTTGATATTGGGCCTGGAGGTTGTGCACAACCTCACTGAGCTTTTTTGACTCAATACTGTCGATATCCTTCACTGATATACTCAAAAGACGTTGGATAGACCTCCAACTGCCCATATCAACTGCTGCAACAATCGTATTTGCATCATTATCGACGTCATTGTCGGGGGGAGGTGTGTGAGTGAATCGTTGGAGGACTACCCCTGGATTCTTTGGCTCAATCCCAGTGGCTTCAAAGGACTTCTGGATGTTGGCAACAGTGAAGGAGTCCTTCCAGGCAGCCCAGAAGATAGGAAAGAAGTCCCCCTTCCTGATCTGGAGCAGTCCTTGGCTGTTGTGAAGGACATCGGTCAGGTGACGCTTATATGCGGTTGAAAGTGGCTTGAACATCACCACATCGAGCGGTTGAAGCGTGTGAGTACCGTGAGGGGGAAATACACTCAGGAGAATCCTGTTTTGATCACAATAACCCAGAAAATCGATCGTCACATGACTCCCGTGGCCATCAAGGATGAGTAATCGCCAACTCCGACGCGATTTCTCCTGAGTATACCGATTGAACACCTGTTTGAGCCAGGCAAGGCCAATACTGTTGTTTGACCAGCCCGTGGGTGATGACGTAACACACACAGAGTGCTCTCCTGACTGTATCTCTTCTACCCAGCTCGATCGGATATCCCCACTGACCGAGTCGTAGATGATGCCTGGGGGTATCCAGGAGCCATCAGCACACACACAGGCTATCACAGTGACCTAATCACGTGAGCCATCTTGTAGAGTACTCCTGATCTCTCTTTTCTCCCACTGTCCGCGGCTGAATATCCGTTTTGAGCGTCCAAGTGTACCGATCATGATCCCCTTTTCATCCATATTGTATATATGACGTCGTTCAACCTCATACTCGGCGATCTTGGAGTGCAATTGATCGAAATACCGCTTGTATTTAGTCCCTGAGTCTGCTCGGTGACATGTTCGATCCATAGCGTCCTGCCACTTCACGAGTAGGTGGTCTTTTTGGCGGTGAAGAAACCGTGAAACCCACCTCTCGGAGATCTTTGTTTGAGCCAATTGAGCTGCAGAATTTTGTACCATTTGCCTTGTAGGTGGTAAACGTCGGTGAGTAAGTCTATTGATATACTCCACAAGAGTTGACTCCTGTTCTGGGGTGAGTTGTTGTTGGTTGATTGCCTTCTGCTCCCGGGACGCTGCCAGCTCCTGATACCGTCGGGCCAACGTGGATCGCTCAACACCATGACTGTCAGCTACTTTCGCGTAAGATACTTCACCTTTCGACCTCTGCGATTCCAAATCTGCAACCGCCTCATCAATCCGACTCATATTGGTGGAGTTATTGGTAGTTGAAGTTTGGGGTGGTTGGGGTTGATGGGGCGTTACGCGGCCCGACATGTTACACCCGCCAAGACTGTAGTAAACAGACCAACAAACGTGGTTGCCCAATGACGGCCAGTTCCTGCTACCTTCTATTCACGGCAGGCAACTACTTCCAATATTAAACTGAGCTTTGAAATCATTATTCCTTCTCTCTGGGCACTTGAATTGAATGTGTGGCGCAGAGTCTTTAAACTCTGGGACATGTCCGCGACAATCACTACGAACCATTGCACTCGACACCTAACGACAGCTTGCACAACCATCTGACACCCTCACACAAATGTTCAATATCTAGAATCGCGCCCTAGCTACTGTTGAGCCCATCCCTCTCCACACCCAAAATTAAAAAAGCAATTCTCCGACCCCAGTAAATCTCGGGTCACATTAGCCGGCAAAAACTTGGACGCTGTGGGAATTGAACCCACGACCTTTCACAAATACGCACGTTGGATAATGCGAAGCGACTATTGACATGTTAGAACAGCATTTAGACAACGCTTTAACGGCCTGCTTACAAATCATACCCCTAGACCAAGCGCCCGTAATTGGTTACTGATGAAAACCAGTGATAATAGAAAATATATAATCACAGAAAAATAACTATAAAATGTCATACTGCATCTGTAGACTACCGTAGAAATGTGATTCTTTGGCCGAACGCTAGCAGGGCGCGGCCGGGTAACATATGGGATAACTGGGGAACAGTATTTAACGATCAAATAGGAGCCGCTGAAGAAGCAAAGACCATACATACGTAATTAGGGGGGCGATCAAATTAGAGGACTGGAGCGTAATCTAAAGTTATCCAGGCTGTGCCGTGCCCTGCTAGCGTTCGGCCAAAGAATCAAATTTCTACGGTAATTAGTTTTGATCTAATTGTTGGTGCTGGGTGTGAAGACGTATGCGCCAGGAATTCCGAGCACCACCTCCATAACCGAGGTCTGTCGGTCCAGACGGTCGTGTTTAGAGCTCGGGACTGCTGGCTATGTGTGGATCGATGTCTAGAACTAAATGATCTTCACCAGAGCTCACGAAAGTCGATTATCGCCTCCTTCTGGTCACATTCAATGCAAATACACGCACGCCCTGTGATGGAAGCCAAATGAAGGCTTTCTCTAGTATGCAGAGCTTCGAAGCTTTCTTATCGCCGGTGTCACTGAAAAGTGTGCAGAACTCGATTCGGATAGACAGTCTCACTGCGCATAATCGTTTTGATCCTGGCGAGATGCCTCTCTGAATAGACTCCCTTGCGTTGTTGGTAGTCATCTGTCTTTGCCTCACTCAGATCATCAGGCGCAAGACCTTGGGAAGCCTCAAGGACTTCGCAACGCGGCCTACATCCTGCATGCAGCGTTGGTATGCAGCAGAAACTTCTTTGCGCGTTTGTTAATGAACGCTTTATATGAGTGGTAATACATATACGCTGGGTAGAAATAGTTGGCTTAGAGGTCAAGTTTCAGGCTGGTGGATCATCTCGCTTGTTGTGCCAGCGGGCTTCCCTCGCCCAATCAACCACTTTCCCGCAGTAACATCAACCACCTCACGTTTCAAACTGCCAAGTCCGCGGCAGCGAACTGCAGCCGTCACACCAAACAGCAACCTCAGGCAGGCCAGTCGAAGGCGGACTGCGGAGCTTCGGCCACGTAATGCCTAGGATGCGGTTGCTTCGCGCGCTGGTACCTGTTTCATCACAGGCGCCCAACCCGTCCAAATGTCCATGAAACATTTGTGATCGTCAGTGGCCCTTCCCGCGTCCCCTCGATAGACTAACGGTGATTGCGATTCATGTGCCTCGTTTGGGAGGGGTGTTCTGGATCCAGTCCGCCCGTTAAAACAAAACTATGCAAGTTAGACTGGACGGACAACCGCTCGTCCAGCGAAGCGAGAGACTCCCAAGGGAGATCTGTATCCTAGTGCCTGTTGGGAGGGGGCCGCGTATATAGGTGTGTGCTCTCCAGATCGGCTAATGTGTATCTCTCCGCTGGTGGTGTTTTCATGTCTATAGTCTTCTGCCTTCTCCATAGCGTCTAGCACGCAGTCATTCTCTCCGGTATTCTCTTCTGATTCTTGTATCTCGACGATGCGTTCTCACACACTCTTTCTGGCTGCGGCCCTTTTTGACCAGAGCATAGCTGGCTATGCTCTGGAGGATGACTACATGACGGACTTCTACGGCGCCTTTGACTTCTTCACAGCAGCAGATCCGACGAATGGTAAGCACTATTATGGCCTATCATCTGAATATATGACTGACGCTGTTTAGGATTCGTCAAATATGTTGATGAAGCTACAGCAAGGCAAACAAATTTGATCAATGCATCGACAACGGTACCGGTGGAGTGGGGAGTAGACAGCACCAACGAGACCCCAGAAGGAAGGCCTAGCCTCAGGCTCGTGAGCAAGAAAAAGTACAATGCCGGTCTGGTGGTTATGGACGTGGCGCATATGCCTACCGGTTGTGGTACCTGGCCTGCGTAGGTTCCTATATTCTTTTCGCACCGCTCTCGCTAACAAAACATGTAGCTTCTGGATGGTAGGCCCAGACTGGCCGACCGGTGGTGAGATCGATATACTTGAAGGTGTGAACGAGCAAACGAACAACGACATGACTCTTCACACCGCTCCTGACTGCAAGATCGGCCCTGACACCGGCATTTTCGCTGGTGATGTTATCACACCCAATTGCGATGTCAACGCTTTCAACCAAAGCAAGAACAGTGGATGCTCGATCGAAAGCCCATCAACAAACAGCTATGGCGTTGGGCTGAATGCCATCGGTGGTGGTGTGTACGCAACGCAATGGACCGCAGAGGCTATCAGTGTCTATTACTTCCCGCGAGGCTCCATCCCAGCAGACGTCCTTGGCGATGCCCCTAACCCTGACGGCTGGGGCCTTCCTGCTGCAAAGTTTACGGGCGGCTGCGACATCAAGAACATGTTCAAGGAGCAGCAGATCGTCTTCAACACTGCTTTTTGCGGCGACTGGGCTGGTGCGGTTTGGGAAAGCGGATCCTGTGCGAAGAAGGCAGCCACGTGCGACGAATACGTACAGAATAATCCTGAAGCTTTCAAGGATGCATACTGGACCATCAACGCGTTGAAGGTCTACCAGGACAATGGCAACGAGACGCCTGCCCCGACTGCGTCTGGATCACCTTTCCAGAGCACTGTCATCTCTGAGGCTGTACCGATCTCTACTGGTAACGTCTCCGTGCCTGCTATTTCTTCAGGCTATGCCACCATACCCAACGAGATCCCTACCAGCGCCCCCATCCTTTCCTACTCCGAAGGTTCGTATGTTGTACCATCAATCTCTACAACAGAGAATATTCCCACCGACACAAGCACGCCTGTCGCCGATCCAACACCATCCGATAGCCTACCCACTTCTGGAATCCTAAAACCTTCGAGAACGCGAACCAGCAAAGGCTCTTCCGTCGCACCCACATCAGCAGCTGCAACGCCAACTAAGCCAGCTGACATCGTAGGAGAGAATGGTATGCCAGGCTTCCAGTGGCCACAAGCTGGCTCTGCCCCTGCATCAAATGCTACACAGTCTGCCGATGCGCCGTCTGAGCCTGGTGCTACGCCGACAGGTACCCCGGCTTTTCTAGTTGAAGACCTATCCTCATCGAATACGGGTGTTACACAGCCTACGAGCAGCCTCGACAACAATGAGTCCCCGCCTATCGTCCCTACCGACACTCAAACTTCGGTTCCCGCAACACCGACTGTCACCAACACAATAGGCGAACATAAGACAGTGGTTGAGACAGTCTACGTAACCGTCACAGCTGGTGCGGAGGCAACACCTAGAGCAGGCTTGTCGAAGGCACGCGCGGCGAGATTTTTAAGGGAGCATAGGCGGAGATCAGTCGGTCACAATGCACGTATGTGAGCGAGGATGATGCAGTATGGGATAGAGACACACACATACACACACACATAGAGAGAGAGAGAGAGAGAGGGAGGGAGGAGATGATGGACGTTTACACGACGGTTTTAGAGTGCGCATATACCCCGGGTTCTTTGTACATACCCTTTTAGAGAACGATTCACATGTTAGATATCTTGAGCCCGCCACCTTGACCTACCTTCTTTATGCCTGCAGTCCAATCGAATCCTGCTTCTGTCCCCGGAGTGTGTATTTCCAGATCATCTCATGATCTCAAGTATATAGACTAGGCGTTCCAGGATCCTCCAACCCTCCCGCCAGTAGCAACGTGGCACCACCCAGAAGAAATTAATCGGACGGTTCTAGGTGACAAAGCCACACCAACCGTCCGATTAATTCCTTCTGAATGGTGGTAGCCTCATCAAAGCCCAATGTCGCATACAATCCTCTTTGCTGTTCTAAGCAGTCCAGATTGCTCCGTAAATTCGCCATGATATCAATCTTTCAAATCAACCCAGCCCTCATATCATAGTCAATGGATTATTCAGAAAAACATGAAAAACAGCAGTATGCTCTTCAGAAGGGTATATTCAGTCATGCTTGTACTTTTGACAAGCTTACAGCTCGTGTAGGCTGTCGCTGCGCCATCAACGCCACCTTTATATCATACATGTGCTCCTTCTACCCATCGAGGACACCACTCTCCTTCAAGCTCCTGAACAGCTCTGGCTCAAGGAACTTGCTGATGGTGACATCTTCCGCCAAGCCCTTTCTTCTTCTGGTCTTGAGTACGAAATCTCTGGCGAGTGCTTGCGCGGTCGCAGGCTCGAGGGGTCGCAGTTGGATCTCCTTGTCCAGCGGGTCGCCAGGAACGATGGACCAGCGGTCAAAGACTAGGGATAGGGAGACCTGACCTTGTGTGTGAATCTATGCTATTGTCAGTGCGTGTTCATGTGCAAGTACAGCGAGCAGGATAGCTTACCCTCAAATCGGTCTCGAAGCCGAAAGAATCGATGACCGGAATGAGTCCCCTCACGTTATACAGCGGTGTGCCAGCAATCGGACCGTCTTGCAGAACATGCCCTCTTCGCCTGGCAAGTACTGTGTACAGACTGCTCTTGGTATCTGCAGGGCCGGTCATGCTGCACGAGTACACGGGCTCCATCAACCTGGGGCTTGCCATGAGGAAACTCGAGTAACAAGCACGGCGGCTGGTGGGAATGATTTGACCACCACCGCGGAAGATGGCTTCAGAGGCAAGCTCAACGTCTGTGATGCGGAATTTGGTGTTGCGAATCGGCTCTTCGCAGAGCGGTCCTTCACGTGTGGCCCAGCTGAAACCTTGCCGTAATGTATCGCGGACCGTGCGGAGTGTTTTTGTGTCGACTTCTGAGGGTAGTGTGTCGTTTTGGAGAATGTTGGCACCCATGTCATCAGGTCCGAAGGCCCAGATGTTGCGCGATGCAAGTAGATCGTAGCCGTAGTTCTCTTCGAAGAACTTGCCCACCACCCGGACAGGATCCTTGATATTGACCTTGCCAGCTTCGATATCTTCGGCGATACCTGGATCCAACGGCTCCGCAATCATGGTGAGTTTGTTCTTTTTATTCGGTGTCATGGCGTAGCATTTGATCGCAGACATCTCG